GATAATACACCAAAAAGAGACATTATTTTCATTACAGGAGACTGGAATGCCAAGGTGGGAAGTCAAATGACAACAGGGATCACAGACAAGCATGGTCTGGGAGAACAAAATGAAGCGGGACGCAGGCTGATAGAATTTTGCCAGGAAAACTCGCTGTGTATAACGAATACTCTCTTCCAACAACCTAAAAGACGGCTTTATACATGGACCTCACCAGATGGTCAACACCGAAATCAGATTGACTACATCCTTTGCAGCCAAAGGTGGCGGACATCCATCCAGTCGGTGAAAACAAGACCTGGGGCTGACTGTAGCTCAGATCACGAAATTCTTATTGCCCAATTTAGAATAAAACTAAAGAGATCAGGGAAAATACACAGACCAGTTAGATATGATCTCACTAACATTCCTAGCGAATATACAGTGGAAGTGAAGAACAGATTTGAAGGACTAGATTTAGTAAACAGAGTCCCAGAAGAACTATGGACAGAAGTCCGAGACATTGTTCAGGAGGTGGCAACAAAGTACGTCCCAAAGAAAAAGAAAAACAAGAAGGCAAAATGGTTGTCTGCTGAGACACTGGAAGTAGCCCAAGAAAGGAGGAAAGCAAAAGGAAACAGGGATAAGGGGAGATATGCCCAGTTAAATGCGCAATTCCAGAGGTTAGCCAGAAGAGATAAGGAACTATTTTTAAATAAGCAATGCATGGAAGTGGAAGAAGACAACAGAATAGGAAGGACAAGAGACCTCTTCCAGAAAATTAGAAACATTGGAGGTAAATTTCAGGCAAAAATTGGTATGATAAGAAACAAAGATGGCAGGGACCTAACAGAAGCTGAAGAGATCAAGAGAAGGTGGCGAGACTATACAGAAGATCTGTATAGGAAGGATAATAATATCGAGGATAGTTTTGACGTGTGGTGAATGAATTAGAACCAGACATCCTGAGGAGTGAGGTTGAATGGGCCTTAAGAAGCATTGCTAACATCAAGGCAGCAGGAGACGACGGGATCCCAGCTGAACTGTTTAAAATCTTGAAAAATGATGCTGTCAAGGTGATGCATGCCATATGCCAGCAAATATGGAAAACACAAGAATGGCCATCAGACTGGAAAAAATCAACTTATATCCCCATACCAAAAAAGGGGAATGGCTAAAGAATGGTCAAACTTTCGTACAGTGGCCCTTATTTCTCATGCCAGTAAGGTAATGCTCAAGATCCTGCAAGGAAGACTCCAGCAATACATGGAGCGAGAGTTGCCAGATGTTCAAGCTGGGTTTAGAAAAGGCAGAGGAACGAAGGACCAGATTGCCAATATCCGCTGGATAATGGAGAAAGGCAGGGAGTTTCAGAAAAACATCTACTTCTGCTTCATTGACTATTCTAAAGCCTTTGACTGTGTGGATCATAATAAATTGGGGCAAGTTCTTAGTGGGATGGGCATCCCAAGCCACCTTGTCTCTCTCCTGAGGAATCTGTACAAGGACCAAGTAGCAACAGTCAGAACTGACCACGGAACAACAGACTGGTTCAAGATTGGGAAAGGCGTACGGCAAGGCTGCATACTCTCACCCAACCTTTTTAACTTGTATGCAGAACATATCATGCGATGTGCGGGGCTTGATGAATGCAAGGCTGGGGTGAAAATTGCTGGAAGAAACATTAACAACCTCAGATATGCAGATGACACCACTCTGATGGCCGAAAGCGAGGAGGAGCTGAGGAGCCTTCTAATCAAGGTGAAAGAAGAAAGCGCAAAAGCCGGGTTGCAGCTAAACGTCAAAAAAACCAAGATTATGGCAACAAGAATGATTGACAACTGGAAAATAGAAGGAGAAACCGTGGAGGCCGTGAAAGACTTTGTATTTCTAGGGGCAAAGATTACTGCAGATGCAGACTGTAGCCAGGAAATCAGAAGACGCTTACTTCTTGGGAGGAGAGCAATGTCCAGTCTCGATAAAATAGTGAAGAGTAGAGACATCAGACTGACAACAAAGATCCGCCTAGTCAAAGCCATGGTATTCCCTGTAGTAACCTACGGATGTGAGAGCTGGACCTTAGGGAAGGCTGAGCGAAGGAAGATCGATGCTTTTGAACTGTGGTGTTGGAGGAAAGTGCTGAGAGTGCCTTGGACTGCGAGAAGATCCAACCAGTCCATCCTCCAGGAAATAAAGCCCGACTGCTCATTGGAGGGAAAGATATTAGAGACAAAGTTGAAGTACTTTGGCCACATCATGAGGAGACAGGAAAGCCTAGAGAAGACAATTATGCTGGGGAAAGTGGAAGGCAAAAGGAAGAGGGGCCGACCAAGGGCAAGATGGATGGATGGCATCCTTGAAGTGACTGAACTGACCTTGAGGGAGCTGGGGGTGGTAACGGCCGACAGGGAGCTCTGGCGTGGGCTGGTCCATGAGGTCACGAAGAGTCGGAGACGACTGAACGAATGAACAACAACAATTCTACAGTAGAAGATGGAGTATGAGGAATAATAACAGGCATATATCGAAAAGTATTCTAAGTTCAGCCTATTATTTTTTTAGTATGTTCTAGAGCTGAAAGAATATTAAAGGGGAGTGTTTATCTTCATTTAAAATTAAGGTTTACATAAGCAGCAAGAAGTCTAATGATTCTGCTGTTCAGGTACATAGAACTGTAATTCACTTACTGATTTGCACTTGCTTTACTTAAGATTAACCTTTGACTATGATAATTTAACTTGGTAAATCTGCTTGAACCATATTTTCTTCCTGAGACTGTACTCAATATTCCTCCATGTACATTTCTGGGCTGAAAATGGAAACCGGGAGAGGGGGGGCACTAAATTATATTCCAGGAAATCCATTTAAAAGGAGAACATTGACTCATTTTCAAACTTGTTTGTTGCAACTGTTTCTTGAGTTTCCTCTTTCTAGTTATTACTCCTTTCTTCTCCCTGGATTAGATGCAGGATTTGTCCCACCTACCAGGGATAGTGAGCAGAATCACAGATGTAGCTTTTTTATTTTTTTATAATTTATTTATGATATTACAACATCGCTTAGAACAAACCAAGTTAACTAAGAGAAAGCATAACAGGGTGGCAATGCAATATAAATTAAGCAATGATCATTTTTACAAACATTTCTGAAAAATAACCCAAAAAAATCAGAGGAATTTTCAACATTAGAGGATGCTCTCCAAACACAATTAATTATTTTAGCTTTATCAAATTTATTCCCACAATCTGACTCAATAAAAATATGTTCAGGTTCTAAGGGTATAACTATATTGCTACCTGGACAAATAATTTCCCAGTAAAACTGCATTTAATACATGATGTGGACACACAAGCCATTAGCTCTTTTACCTCGGTGTTAAGTCCTCCCACTCTTCTTTTAATGGAAAAGTATTCTTTCACTTCTAAAGTCCCCATTAAATATTGTAGTAAGGTATTATCAAACATTAATTGCAGAATCTACAATATACATACATGTAATGCGTTTTTAAAAGTGAAACATGTAATCTATGTTTTTGGTAAGCAGCTGATTAATTCACACTGGAAAAGTATTTAATAATGAGATAGAACCAAATAGGTAACTCATATATCTCAACACAAAAAACAACCTTTCATATTTACCAATGTAGCATTGCCTAGACAAGTAGTATGGCTATTACATTAACTACTAAGAAGGATACAAAGGTGCTTTAATAATTAATTATCAAATTTAAGGTGAGAGCAATAAAAAGCAGGCAGACAAGCAGGAGACCCAGTTACAATTTAATTTGTTTAACAGTATTACTTCTAAATAAAAAGGAAACGTTCTATTTTTCAATAAGATTTGGACCAGACTGTACTGTCCTTATCCCAGTTGTCACTGTAAACAACTTTGTGCATTAGTCATTAAAGATACCATGCAAATGTAATTCAAGACCCAATAAAATAAAGGTGGTTAGGATCATTTCTCAGAGGACAGCACCTTACATTCTTTTCACTGATCTCTTTGCAGTAATCTGGTTTTTTTTAATAAAACAAATAAGATACTTTTATCTGTTTTCATGCCTACAAAGCTGAGAACACAAGCAGATTAGAAGTCAAAAAAGATGTGAGACCACAAGATTCTATTCTCCAACTTGAAACTACAAAATATACATTTAATTGGTTTGTTCCCTTACTTCTAATCTAAATGTTTTGTTTGTATCATAAGGCTCGGAATTCCAAAATAACTTTCATTCTACCCTCTCTTCTACAATAGAATGCAGTTTAACAGCTCAGCTCTCATTTTTCAGTAATACGACAACAATTTCAGCTCCCCACAATAGAATAACTTTACACTTTTACTTCAATGAGGTTTCATTTCCCCACAAATGCACATACATGTTGTGAACATGCATGTGTCATACATGCAAAGTTTGAAACAAGATTCTTTTGGGAGAACTCTCTTACTTCATTTGTTTTGAGATGTTGACAGCAATTGCGAGAGCCAGGCTGCCAAAACATCTAAAGCTTGGCCTTTAATAATCACTAAAGTAATATAGCACCAGACCACGTCTGAGCAGGGACTCCCAATAGTGTCAGGCTGTGTCAAACTGCTGGATTGTTATGGGATGCGAGCAAATGTCCACACTTGTTTTACCCAATCAAATCTGAATTAGGCTCTAGATGCAAGCCTCTTGTGTATTAACCCACTGCCCTCGCTGTTATTACCACTACCACAGACCTTCACACTTGAAGGCTAATTCTAATTCAGCAATTTGAGTTGTTGCTGCAGTTTTTTTTCCAAATGTTCTCCTTCTCTCTCCCTTCCGATGATCCTTGTTTGAACTTTTACTTATGAGGAGTGCAAAGAGGAAATGCACACAACATGCAAACATATAACACAAACAAATATAGAGATGTGGTGGATATTTATTACACAGCACCATGAGGTTGTTGGACTACATGTGTACTTTACAAATGAAACATTCACACGTTTCTGGTGCAAGCCCTCACAAGAGATGAGAAACAGTAATACAGTCCAACCTGCTTTAGCCATGCTTGGTATCCAGAAGACGTAAGCTGGAATCCATCTTTAGGCATGTGTATTCTTGGCTAGGAGAAAATAGACATAAGAGACTTCCTTTTACATTGGGACCTGGCTAGCCTAATCCTTTTTCCAGGAGATAGTAAATTCCAAACAGTTGTTCTGTAACATATATAACAATACATTGCTTAACTGCAGGTTTATTCTAAATACTTTAGAGTCAAAGAACTATAACAACAGTGGAACAATGAGGAAAACAGGATTCTGCACAGCTAACCATCTCTAAAGGATTAATAAATATAACAGAATTGTAATAGTCAAAGCCTTTATAAGACAGGCGAATGTTAAACAAAACATGAGCATACAATGTGCTGCTTTGAATCCCCTTTGGGGGAGATAAAGTAGGGTATAAATATAATAATAATAATAATAATAATAATAATAATAATAATAATAATAATGTGTTTGGTCTCATGGGGGAGCAAGGTTCCGTAATTATACAAAAGATAAGAGCAAGAATGAAAACAACTTATCTGTAATATAGAACTATCTCTCAACGGGTCAGATAATTAAGACTTTGTAAAAAAAAAAAAGCAATCCATAACCATCTAGCTTATTATAATGGCACTCTACATGCAGAATATGGAGCAACTCTATCTTTAAAAAAAGTTATTTCCTATATTAACCTGTTTGTTATTTAAGAACAACAGGGTAAGGCCTTCTCTTGCTCCCACCAGTATTGAAGGTACACCTGGTGAAGACACAAGAGAGTGTCTTCTTGGTGGCTGCTCCCTTCCACAGAAGAACTGATTGGCACTCTACTCCTATCTTTCCACTCTCAGGACTGGGGTAGGGATCATCAGAGAGGAATTGTGAAATCTCTGGGAGATAAACTCTTGGCATCTTGGTCAATTAATTTGCTTCTCAGGGGTCAAAGGAGGAGGGAAGACCACCAACATTTCAGAACAGAGCTGAGAGCACACTCAGGCACTTGCTGTCTGTTCAGTATGTAATTGCCTAGGCTCTAGGTATTCTTTCTTTCCTTCACAGACTTCTTCCTCAGGGTTCCCTGGACTTTAGGTTAACTACCACTGCTCTAAACCTCTAAAAGAAGCACTATATAACTTAACATATTGTGATTGTTTTCTCTTAACACAGCAACAGCACTCAATAATTTCTTTTAAGGGCTATGCCCTTCATTCTACAACACCACAGTCCCTAAGAATGAGGGTCATAAATTATGGCAGAGCCACAAAACAGATACCACAGGTCAATGGAATTCCTTCTCTTTAAACATCTCATCTGGCTACATTCCCATAGAGTCAATAGCTGACACATATTCCAAAACTTAACGTCTGAACTAAAACATTTCCACACATAAATTACCAATTTACTTTTTTTGCACTCAAAAACTTGCCACTTTTAAATAAGTGGTACTGTCTCACAACACCATCAACAGAACCAGGAGAATATAAAGGTATAGTACTACATTCACTTAAAATACAGACAAATGTGATATATTGACAGGAATTTTAGATTTTATTCCATTAATTGAACTACTCCAGATCCGTGTAAAAAATGCAAGTCTCAGTTAGCCACTTAAAAGGATATGTTTGACACGGCTAATTTTCTATTCACTTGTAGTGCTTTGATGTTCTAAGCTATACTTACTCTGTTAATACCTCTCTATAATGTGTTTTAATGATCTAGAACATATATTTGGGTTTTGTGTGTAAATATGCATCTGTCAACTCAGCTTTCAAAGACTCTGTGCTAGCAGTAGTCATGTGCTAGCTAATGATTTTTGGTACACAAAAGCGTAAATGCAGTCATTCCAGACAAGTTTTACAAGCATGATCCCATGGGAACTTTACCATCATTCAATGTATTATCCAGCCAAACACCTGCCACATTCCAATTCTGTAATATACTGCAGACCAAACATCACGTTTAATATGTAATCTACTTCTGGGGCTGCCTTTTCAATAGCCTCTCTCCCACAATGTACTAAAGCCATTAGCTCACTCCAATTTCATACTGACCATCTCTCTCCTGCAATCTTTTAACTCACTTTTTGTTTTATAACAGTCCTTTACCCCTTCTTCTAGTTTTAACTTAATGGATCCAAGTAGTCTCTAGTGAGAGCTGAAAAGCTGGTTTTTCAGAATGAGTCAATATTTTAAGTTCTATGGAATGCATTTGTTTTCTCTTCTGAAAAAATAATAAAAAGGAGCCTTTAAAAGACAGACATTAAATTACAGGCCTCACTTCCTATTTTCTAAGCCTAATACAACCCCTGAAGGCTTACAATATTTGAATCACAGCTGGAGCCATGGTTACTATACAGTTTAAATATCAACTTCTTTACTGTGCAATTTGTTTTAAAAAATCAAATCAGAGGCTGTGTCATAAACAAGTGCTAATTAAGTAGCAAGCAAGAATAAGACTTTCTGTGCAAGAAAGGTTCTTAAATATCTGCCTCGCCACTCTCACAAGAAAGGATAAATAAAGCCAGCTGTGGAAATTATGGACCAAAAACTGGAACACAGAAAAGAAAGGAAATGAAAGAACACAGCTGGCTTTAAGTATTCAATGTTACTCTTTTTGGTTGAGAATCTAGGGATTAGAAATATGAAAAAATATTCTATTTCAGAATATTGCTAAATTAGCATAGTAATGCAAGCTGATCACTCAATTCTTTACCAGTATAAACCTTTTACCACCCAGCTAATCTCCCTCAAGCCCGTCATTTCTGAAGTTACAAAAAAAAATCTGCAGCCCCTTTTGGTATTGACTGCTGGGTTGACAGAATATGTATTATTTTAATGCAGCCCATTGAAAAGATATATCTGTTAACAACAGGAATAGTGTAATTTATTATTCTCCCCTTTTTTGTAAATTCATTTGTTCTTAGCTAAATGCTTAGCTAAGAATAAATGAATTTTTAATACAGTTTTTAGAAACACTTGTCACTGCATCAGCATTTCCATTTAGTGGATAGGACTGATGTTTCTCTCAGCAGGGGGGTGATATTTTAATGATGCAATGCTACACTTCCTAGAAGACAGACAAGCCTCATGAGGCAGATTATAGGACTAAAGAAACTCAGATCCCATTAAAAGCAGACAGCTCCAGACCATTTTTAAAATTAATTTTGTTTAATGATAAAATATGTTATAACAGGTGGGTAGCCAATTGTAAAATTAACCAACACATACTTAAAGGAACAGAAGAATGCTAGAAAAGCAAATATAATAGAATCCCTGCTCTCAATTTACTACACTGCTCTGTTGAGATACTGATACCTTTCAATACCTCACCCTCCTTGTCCCCGAATAGGCATTCACATGCTTTCAAAGCTGTCAGAGTAACCAAATGTATCTCACAACACTGTTGAAAGAGATACATAATGTTTCAACCTGGTGGTCACTTCCCACAGCAGATTGAATGGTCACGTGTATACTCCTGCAAAACACATGAATACATGTAAGTATAGTGCATTAGTGCAGTGACAGCAGTCATTTCAACCTTGAAAATAGCCAATTGCTAGTGTCTTTTATCAAATTACATGAAAAAATATAAAAACAATATAGAACTTACAGAAATAGAATTACTGCGTCTGTCACTCATGGGGTCTTTGAAGGGCAGTTAGGTTACTTCTACTACATTTGACTGGATCTTTGGTTTCATGAGTATGACTCTCGGTAAATGCATTCATATCTCCCAAAAAGACAAAAATTCATTCACAAGTATCTCACAAGATAGTTACAGTATCTAATGTCACCTTGATTTACTTAGTTAGAGATCTCTCCACCCTTCCTTAGTAAAAGCTACAGAAGATTGTGCCTTCTTTATTGTACCAATGGCCAAATGCATAGGTCAAAGGACATTCGTTAAAAGGAAAGGAAGATCTGTTAATTCCTAATTGTTTAGACACAATCGAAGAAGAACATGTAATACAATGTCATCAAACCCAACAAGTGGACTTTAGCATATAAGTCAATGGCTATTCCTTCCCTCCTGCACCCTTTTAGTGGGACATGGTATCATGTTCTGGCATGCCTAAAGTGACATTTCTTCTTTTCCAGCCACCAATTCAGTTGATTTTTGGACAGTATCTTTTTTTTTAATTGTTAGAGATCTGAAAGCATGGGTGGGCCCTGGGGATGTGATGGAGGGTGAAACAGCTACATGTGCAGTTTATTTGGGGTGTTTGAGGCCAATTTGGGGTGGAAAATCATCCAGAAATATGTATAAAAATAAAATTTGGGAGATTTTATGGAGCTTCAGGTCCTGCATTTGGGAGTCTCAAGGGCTGCATTGGCTCACCGGTTGTACTTCACCTACCTTGATATATGGACAAAAGAAGAGAACACAAAGGCAAACCACACAATGAGCTGCTCCAAATTAAGCTGCTCAAAGAAAAGACAGCATCAAATGAGAGTAGGAGAATTTACAATGTTAAGAAAAAGTTACCAGATGGATTATGCTAGATAGCACTTACAAGTGATATCAGAAACCAGCATCATCCATAATGCAGTATAATGATAAAATTCTCATATCTTCAAGTTTACTCTGTAGTAACTTATAACCAGAAGCCTCCTTACTGCTCCTGACACATGTATACATTAAGTTTTTAAAACATAATGATGTGGACTAAACCACCAAGATGGGGCCATTAAAGAATAAAGGATGAGAAGTGCGCTCCCACATGTTTTCAATCTGTAATAATTCATAGATAAATCTGCTGCTTCTTATACAAAGAAAAAAACCTTCTGCAATCTGGGCATTGATGGACTAGATTTAACTGCACAATATTTGTGCTACAGTTTTTTATAGATGCAAATTTCATATTGTAATGCTTTCATTCATACATATACCTCTTATCTTCACCCTATTTATACTTATAATATCTCCATAGTCCAAAGGGTGGCATCTAGTATTGTTTTGATTTGCACCACTAGAAAGAACTATAATATAATACTAACTACTGATGATGAATTATAGTGCTATTGGCTGGTGAGCAATTTACCGAGGAAAACCCCTTTTAACACATAAAATAAATATC